TTTTTGTCATTTTTGGTAAAAAGTGATATTTTCAACTTCTTGTTAAAAACGACAAGTCCAATTGCTTTGATATTACATATATAGATACTACATATGGACCACTCTCAAATTTGTTCATTTCATGATGATATCTTCAATTTTCTAATTTTGGTGAATATTTTTGTCATTTTTGGTAAAAAGTGATATTTTCAACTTCTTGTTAAAAACCGCAAGTCCAATTGCTTTGATATTACATATATAGGTACTACATGTGGACCTCTCTCAGATTTGTTCATTTTGTAATGATATCTTTAATTCTCTAATTTTGGTGAATATTTTTGTCATTTTTGGTAAAAAGTGATATTTTCGACTTCTTGTTAAAAACCACAAGTCCAATTGCTTTGATATTACATATATAGGTACTACATGTGAATCTCTCTCAGATTTGTTCATTTTGTAATGATATCTTCAATTCTCTAATTTTGGTTAATATTTTTGTCATTTTTGGTAAAAAGTGATATTTTCAACTTCTTGTTAAAAACGACAAGTCCAATTGCTTTGATATTACATATATAGATACGCATATGGACCACTCTCAAATTTGTTCATTTCATGATGATATCTTCAATTTTCTAATTTTGATGAATATTTTTGTCATTTTTGGTAAAAAGTGATATTTTCTTCTTGTTAAAAACCACAATCATTTATGGTTAAAAATTATATTTTTGAATTCTTGTTGAAAACAGCAAGTCCCATTGCATTGATACTATGCATATTGTTCATTTTCTAATGATATCTTCTGTTCTTTAATTGAAATGTGCATTGCTAACAGCGGAGCTATCTCAGCTGAGATGCTGCTTGTTTATTTGTGACATGAATTGATTAGATTGTACATGCTTGATAATGTACATGTATATCTATATTATTATGTTTTGTGATGGAGCACTTTCTCATGAAGAAATGTTATAAATGATTCACCAGTACACTCTATCGACTAAATACCCCCAGAATCACTGCAAATACATGTAAACTGTTTGGTTGCCTTGTGCTAGTTTACATTCCCACCTTGCCCTTCCTTGTCTAGGCATGTCAACTACATTTTCACTCTTTTCCTGTTTCTTGATATAGGGTTTGCTCGCATATACCAAGTAAGATTGAGATACCCACCATCCTTCACAGTCTTGGCTTTCTATCTATTTCTCTGTCTGTCTGTCTTGACACTTCATAAAATCCAAAATCCTGTTTATTTTTTACCTGATTTTGCTATGTTTATATCTGGCTTTTATGCTATGCTTATTCATGATGCCTGCTGCTGCAAGTTGACAACCATGGATCAAGTAGTGTGCAAGCACTTGGTATCTTAACTCTCTACTCTATTTCATTTTTCTTCTTCTTTCAGAGTTTATTCAGGGCATCTCACAGTTTAGTGTGAAGGGTGACCGAGATTCAAAGTTGAGATGTAGGTATCACCCACCCGCTCAAAAAAACCTGACCCCCCCTCACCCTTCCCAGATCCCTTTCCCCATTTTTTCTTATTTGTTCAACCCAGTGGTGTGACTTAACATGTTTTATATTCTCTTACAGAGTTTATACAAGGTGTATCACAGTTTAGTGTCAAGGGGGATAAGGATTCAAAATTAAGATGTAGGTATATCAGTGATGCGGGACAACGATATAGCATGTCTGGTGATGGAGTTATACACCTACTCAAATTTCACTCATCAGCATCCATGCTGCAAGCTTCAAATCAGCTCCAGTCTTTTTTTTTTTATTATATTTACTTTTTTCTTCTTCATAGTGCGTAATATGCATGTTGTAATATCATCACTGTACTTTCTTTTTTAAAAAAATGCACAAATCTGTTTTTCTTAAGTTTGATTCCCTCATCAAGGATCCGGGTATCCTGAATTTTAGGCAGTTTGTATTTTGTAAAATTTTCTAAAAGTATCCGTTGAAAGTTCTTACTTCTTTTGTTTTTACATAATGCCAATAAACTTAGATGAACAAAAAAAGATTAATAACCAAATAGTACATCCGAATGCATTTGTATACAACTGATGCTTGATGTGAGAAACATGTGTGTCTCACAAAAACATATATGATTATGTATTAACATTACTCTGGGGGGTTTTGATTATGGAGTACTGCTTTAGTATGGCCTGAATGACATTGGCAGTAGCACGATGACAAAATAATTGTAGCTTAATGAACATTACACCATGCTTCCACACTGTCAGTAGTACACATCTGGCCATACTACAAGTTACCATACAGTCCACAGTGTCCATGTCTTCCATATTTACCAGTTTTTTCAAAGCTTAAAATATTCCCTAGTATAATAAATGTTAGGCCATACTACATGTAAACTGCTACCACATAGTCCGTAGTATAAATTTTGGGTCATACTAAATTCAGTTACCTCATTGTACATATTATAAATGTAAGTCATACTAAACTAAAAGTCAGCTACTATGTAGTCCATGGTATAAATTTTGGGCCATACTAAATTCAGTTACCTCATAGTCCATGGTATAAATGCAAGTCATACTAAACTCTGCTACCACAAGCAAATGTTAGGCCATTCTTAACTCTGCTATCACATACAAATTTTAAGCCATACTAAACTCTACCACATACAAATGTTTGGCCATACTAAACTCTGCTACCACATACAAATGTTAGGGTATACTAAACTCTGCTACCACATACAAATGTTAGGCCATACTAAACTCTACCACATACAAATGTTTGGCCATACTAAACTCTGCTACCACATACAAA